GCACCGCACATTTTGAGGGAATAAAAAGACGTTTATGTGCGCCTTATAGTCGTGAAAATACGGTAGGTAGATTTACACAGATTGTAAATGTCTGTGTCCAAATATAAACAAGAGTGCATTCAAGCCTCACTTCCTTCAGTATAAACAGTGAAGGTAACATTAGCTCAACTCACATGAAGTTCCATATTTAATAATTGTTTTACAGTGTATTGCTACTGTTGTCAGAAAACGTTAATGACTGTGTTACCCTTAGTTATTTAATGAGGATTTAATTTAACCAACTTTTAAGTCTTTAAGAGAACAGCTAATGTCATAAAAGTGTCAGGGTTGGTGGATGTTGGTGCGGACCAAAATGCAGATTAGTTGGAGGCAGAGATGAGTTTGTGCAGATTTATTAGAAGGTAGAAGGCCAAAAACAAAGCCTTGTTGGGCTTAGTACTGTTTTGACTTGTTTTGGCTTTTACTAAGCTTTTACTAAGCCCAAACACATTGGCATTTTGAATAGAAAAAGCTTCCTGGATGGGAAACGAAACATCTTTAAACTTGGAAACAAAGTTCGGTGGATTGTTTTTTGAATGTAAGGTATCCTGATAGTTTTTTCTTATTTGAAATGTGTATTTTCTTATTTGATATTATTCTCATATATGGTAAAACACTACAGTTCTTTCTGAAATACACAATACTTACCATGGATTCATGTGTTGATGGTTTTAGTTTATTTGGTCTGGAGAGAAAAGAAAAATGCAAAAAGTGAAGTAGTTTTTATGAAGATTTTCAGTGCATATACCTCTAACATCCCTGAGAGATACATAGGAGAGACTGAAAATAGCAGATTTACCTGCATTCCTTTCAAATTACTTGCAGCTTGTTTGACTTGTTCTGCTCACAAATTTCTTTTTCTTTTTTATTGTTTTCACTAAGCCAACTTTTGTACTTATGTTGACCTGGAGAATTAAACTAATCGGGTCAGCTAGGCAGGAGGTTCCCATAATTTGAGCTGTGACCCCAAAAATTACAATGCAAAAGACTGAATAACCTCTAAAAATACATAAAATTACTTCCTTTTCCAACTATTAACAAATAACAGTTAAAGTTCAATAATATTTCATTTAAGATACATTTATTATTTAAAAGGAAAATAACACAGTTATTTATGTAATAGTGCCTCTCAAGTTAATGATGTATTTAATATTTCAATTTTATGTACTAAATCATTCAATTCAATCATCACTTTACAACGATTGTGAACATCAGGGTTCCAACCCCTACTTTAAGTAAACTCTGTTAAACTGATATTTTAAGGTTCTAAAAAAGAAAATTTTTTCAGAGTCACAACAACTGACACAATTATGAGTCATCATTATTATTAAATTTTTATGGGCTGTGCTTTTAGGTGGGTGTATGTGTTGGCCATTTTTTTTTAAACTGCTGTTCCTTTTATGCATTTTTTGTAGCTAAATCTTTAAGACTTAATTCCTTTTTTATTCAGGAAGTTTTTTCTTATGAGTGACTCTGTTTTAGCCTGTTTTACTTGTTAAGTCTGTGTTTTCTATGTTGCTCTCGTGTTGTCATCCATGTGGTAATGGACACATGCTGTTGCGTGTTGTGTCTGTGAGAAACCCTTTTTTAATCTCTTCGTCTTTCCTTCCTACACACCTGTTTGTGCAGTTTTTGTTTTTTCTTGCTGGTGTGTCATTCTTTGGTATTTGCTGGTTTATCTACTTTACTCTAGAAGCTGCAGTCCTGGGAATACTATTAAAAGTGTAAAGGTTTCATTGGATTGTATGTACATCTCATCGCTCCTCTCTTCATGTCATTAAGGGACACTATCTACCAAATTGCATCAACTTCAGAATTTTCGGACAGCGGTAAGTTTATTTAATACCTGTGTGAATTTCTCATGCATATGGAAATAAACTCTCGATAACTAAGCTTTATTTTGTGAAAAAAAAATGAATTAATAATTGATTGTTTACCACCCCTCTACACATTTCTTTCTGTACATTACATACACAAACACAGATATATATATATATATATATATA